AAGGTGTGCAAGGGGCATAGGTAGGGAATATTAACTGATAGTTCTTGGTGACAGAGTTTGTGGCAGGTTAGAATTTCCAAAGATACCCACCTCAATCCATGTTCCATCCCTTGCTCTTCTCAGACCGTCACTGGGACTCTCCTTCCCCAGGTGGTGGGGAGCAGGTCTGCATATCCCCCTCTTCACCTTGGGAGGACCTTTTTAGCTGTGTTGACCATCAGAATATGGCAGAAGTGACAAGGCATGACCTCTGTGTGTCCCGCCTGGCTCTTTCTCTTGAGACCCAGCGGCCATGTTGTAAGGAAGCCCAGGCCACATGGGGAGGTCACTTGTGGGTGTGTATTAATCATGTCTTTCCTTTTGATGTTTTGTCACCTGAGGCCTTACTGAGCATGGGGAGACTGCCCCTCCCAGGGTCAGCCAATCCCTAGAGATTGTAAATAGTTCACCTGTGAGCTCACCTCTCATATGCAAACCAACCAATCTGGAGACCGTCCCTCCCCACCTCCTCTGTCAGGCTCTTATACTCCAGGCCACTATCCCCCTGCCCTCATCACCCCAGGACCAAGTACCACAAAACTAGGAACAGCCCTTGTACCCCAGAGGTCTTGACATTACCCAAACCAGCCTGTCCTAAGCCTGCTCACCTTGCCTCACCTGTTCCTTCCCACAGAAACCACAATAAGCATTCTTGTCCACATTTTCCCCTGGCCCCCTCTGCCTCCTGACCCACCCTGGTGCTTCCCCTAGTGGCCCTGTGTGGCATTCTGTGCCCCTTCTCTTGGGAACTGTGAGTAACAAACGATCTTTTCAATGGTCGTCATCTCCTGAACTGTCGGCCTTACCATACCTGAATAGTAATAAAACCTACTTTAAAATAATATATATATATATATATGTGTGTGTGTGTGTATGTGTGTGTGTGTCTTTATTGATTTCAGAGAGAGGAAGGGAGAGGGAGAGAGAGAGATAGAAACATCACTGATGAGAGTCACTGATCGGCTGCCTCCTGCACACCCCCCACTGGGGATCAAGCCCACAACCCGGGCATGTGCCCTGACCAGGAATCGAACCATGATCTTCTGGATCCTAGGTCAATGCTCAACCACTGAGCCACGCCAGCCAGGCCCTACTTCTTTTTTATTTGAGAGAGAGAAAGAGGAAGAGAGAACATTGATTTGTTTTCCACTTGCTTAGGCATCATTGGTTGATTCCTGTATGTGCCCTGACCAGGGATCGAACTCACATCCTTGGTGTATCAGGATGACGCTCTACCAACTGAGCTACCCAGCCAGGGCCAAAACCCACGTTTTAAAACAGGGTATTTGGCCAGCTTCCCCAGTGAGGGTCCTACTAGTGGCCAGCATCAGCCCCCAGACACGTGAGTCAACAAGCCTTCCCATCCCCCAGCCCCTGGCTCTGCATCCATCCCAGACTCTGAATTCCTCACTGCAGGCGCCCTGAGCGACTTGGTGATTACCACTGTTCGATGCCACTATATTTCAGAATAATCTGTCATATAGCAAGAGGTGGCTATCGCAGCCTTTTTCATGTACTTGTGCTTCTCTAAGTACTCCAAGTGTCCTACAGTGAACAGAGATTGCTTTTATGGAAAAGAATTCACAACAGTTCTTTTTAAAAAGACAACTGGGCAAGAGCAAGGCATCTTGAATTTTTATTTATTGGAGTTCTTTCTACTCCGCTGGAGACAGTAACGTTTACTGGCAGGATTAGTCTTCATACAAATGTTTATCAAATACTGTGTTAATAATACAAAATAGCAATTTCACAAACACAGAAAGGGTCTGATACCAGCAGGGCACTTTGCAAACTCACGCCACAAGTGCCATTGTCACGCACTGTGGACATGACAGGTCTATAAAAGTGAGTCTGAAAGGCAATCGGAGCTCCTGTTTCCCCCAGAAAAGGCTTCACATGCTGCCCACCCGATGGGCATCCAGTGTCACAATCCAGCCCCACAGCCCCCTGAGCATGGCCGTCACCGGAACAACAGACCCAAGGACCTGGTCCTGTGTTCCTCTTAGTGGGGTCAGGGTTTGGGGAACCAGATCACAGATGCTCGGAATTTCTTTCTCCTCAACTGTCCCCGTGTGGTGTGAGGGCACCCAGGCTCCCAGGGATGGCACGGTGCTGACCCCGCCCATCAGTAGGTACTGGGCACCTGGGACCAGTGTCCACGGCTTTCCTGAAGGGTACCGGCAAGAGTTGTTTCTAGAACAGAGGGCTCAGACCCACCCGTGGTCATAAAATCAATTCAACGGCTGCAACCAGCAACTTAAAAAAATGACACAGGGTAGCCCAGGTTGCTTCAGACATGACAGCTGCTTAGTTGGCACATCCTAGCATGTGGCAGCCTTGAGGACAGACGGAAAGAGGGAGCTGGTGTCTGAATTTCCAGTGTCTAGCCCTCTCCACCCCACACACCCAGTGCCCAGCCTAGAATGCTGCTGAACAGGGCTTTGAAGGATGAATAGGAGTTGGGGGGGGGAGAGGGGGTGAACCAGCACCTCCTCGAAAGGTTCAGGGGCATAGAGAGGGAGCTTGGGGGAAATGCAAGATCAAATGCCCAGAAGAGGGGGCACAGGAGATGTAGGAGCAGACAAGGAGCTCAGCAACAGCCACTGGGAAAGCCCCAGGTCAGTGTCCCAAGCTCCCAGCGTGGGGCTTTGATCCCCATCAGCACCTGGGCAACACGGTGCCATGCTTTGGGAGGCCTCCTAAACATCATCCCAGGAACCCCACCCCCAGGCCTGAGGCCCAGAGGTCAAGTACAAGGGCCCCGCCCCAACCAGGGCAAGGCCCTGCCCAGCCTGCCAACCCCCCCCCAAGCTTCCCTTCCCCCCACCTCCAATC